TGGGACTACAGGCGTGTGCCACCATGCCCAGCTAATTTTTGTATTTTTTGTAGAGATGAGGTTTCACCATGTCACCCAGGCTGGCCTCGAACTCCTGGGCTCAAGCAATCCACCTGCCTCAGCCTCACAAAGTGCTGGGATTATAGGCGTGAGCCACCTTGCCTGGCTAACTTTATACCATTAAACAACAAATTTCCATTCCCTCTCTCCTTGCCCTTCTATGTGTATATATGTACGTATGTGTGTGTGTGTGTGTGGGGGTGTGTGTGTGTGTGTGTGTGTGTGTGTATATGTGTATATATTAGACAGGGTCTTGCTCTGTCACCCAGGCTAGAGTACAGTGGCCGGATCATGGCTCATTGTAGCCTAGACCTCCCAGGCTCAAGTGATCCCACACCTTAGCCTCCCACACAGCTGGGACTACAGACACGCACTACCATGCCGAGCTAATTTTTCAAAAATTTTTTGTAGAGACAGAATTTCATCATATTGCCTAGGCTGGTCATGAACTCCTGGGCTCAAGCATTTCTCCTACTTCAGCTTCCCAAAGTGCTGGAATGACAAGCGTGAACTACCATGCCAGGCCCTGTTATATTTACTGAGAGAAAAAAAATTACGCTTACAGGGAACTTTTAATAAAAACATAACGTATTTTTTTAATCACATAAAAGTAATTTATTTTAAATAGTTAGTTCTAGGCTGGGCACAGTTGCTCACGCCTGTAATCCCAGCACTTTGGGAGGCCAAGGTGGGTGGATTCACTTGAGGTCATCAGTTCGAGACCAGCCTGGCCAACATGGTGAAACCCTGCCTCTACTAAAAATACAAAAATTAGCCGGGCCTGGTGGCATACACCTGTAACCCCAGCTACTCGGGAGGCTGAGGCAGGAGAATCTCTTGAACCCGGGAGGTGGAGTTTGCAGTGAGCCGAGATTGAGCCACTGCATTACAGCCTGGGTGACAGAGTGAGACTCTGTCTCAAATTTAAAAATTATATAAATAAATAAATAGTTCTAAATTATCTACTTCTTTATTTTTAAAAAAACAGAGTAAATAAGTTTGAGAATTTATTTTGCCCCTTTGTTTACATGGTGCTTTGTAATGTTTTTGGCTTACTTATATATAGGTGTTTTAGCTGTAAGAAAATATACAAGTCACTGCAAAATCTTGAGTTCTGAAAATTCATACACTAAGGATAACAGAGCTTATAGGGAAAACAGGGTTAGGGGCTGACCCTCAAAACTTACAGCCAGGTGCGGTGACTCACACCTGTAATCCCAGCACTTTGGGAGGTTGAGGAGGGTGGATCACTTGAGGTCAGGAGTTCGAGATCAGCCTGGCCAACATGATGAAACCCTCTCTACTAAGAATACAAAAATTAGCCGGGCATGATGGCAGGCACCTGTAATCCCAGCTACTCTGGAGGCTGAGGCAGGAGAATTGCTTGAACTCAGGAGGTGGAGGTTGCAGTGAGCTGAGATCATGTCACTGCACTCCAGTGTGGGCAAGAGTGAGACTCTGTCTCAAAAAAAAAACTTGGCTGGGCACAGTGGCTCACGCCTGTAATCTCAACACTTTGGGAGGCCGAGGCGGGTGGATCATCTGAGGTCAGGAGTTCAAGACCAGCCTGACCAACATGGAGAAACCCCATCTCTACTAAAAAATACAAAAATTAGCTGGGCATGGTGCCATGCGTCTGTAATCTCAGCTACTCAGGAGGCTGAGACAGGAGAATTGCTTGAACCCACGAGGCGGAGGTTGCAGTGAGCCAAGATTGTGCCACTGCACTCCAGCCTGGGTGACAGAGCGACGCTCCATCTCAAAACATAAAATAAAATAAAATTAAACTAAATTAAAAATACTTATGCAACTTTGGAACCAGAGCACTAAAAGAAAGAACCATTGCATTAAGTGTGAAAGAGTGAAAAATCATTAAGTGCCACATTTTCCCACTACCATTATGTGCCCCAATTCCTTTAATGTTTCTATTTTGAGTTTACATCTGGAAATTAAAGGACTAATGTAAAATTCTTATAAGTCATACTGTAAGAATTGCAAACGTAGGCTGGCCGTGGTGGCTCACACCTGTAATCCCAGCACTTTGGGAGGAGGTGGGTGGATCACCTGAGGCTGGGAGTTCAAGACCAGCCTGACCAACATTGAGAAACCCCATCTCTACTAAAAATACAAAAAATTAGCCAGGCGTGGTGGTGCATGCCTGTAATCCCAGCTACTCGGGAGGCTGAGGGAGGAGAATCGTTTGACCCGGGAGGCGGAGGTTGTGGTGAGCTGAGATCGTGCCATTGCACTCCAGCCAGGGCAACAAGAGCAAAATTCCATCTCAAAAAAAAAAAAAAGAAAGAAAAAAAAAAAGAAAAGGAAGAGAAGAATTACAAAAATTGTGTCAATTATATAGCATGTTGGTAATATGAATGACAAGTTTTATTGAGACATTTTTACTGTGATGTTTGGAAATTGCTGCTGAAAGGTTTTTGGAGTTTTTAAATTAAAAAATGACAGAAAGCCAGAGGCTTCTGGAAAAATATGGGAATCAAGGGAAAAGTTCTGTGATTACAGGCCAAAAGTGAGCCTTTTATTTTGAAAGAATTATAGACTTAATCTCAGCACTTTGGGAGAACAAAACAAGATGATTGCTTGAGCTTAGGAGTTTGAGACCAGCCTGGGCAATACAGTGAGACTGCATCTCTACAAAAAAATTTAAAAATTAGCCAGGCATGGTGGTACACACCTGTAGTATAGTATAGTCCCATGCAGCCTTCACCCAGCTTCCCCAAAAGGTGACATTGATGTAACTATAGTATAGTATCAAAACCTGGAATTGACATTGGTACCTCACTGTTCATTAGACTACAAACTATTCAATTTTCATCAGTTTTTAAACACCACATTCATTTGTTTGTGTGTAGTTCTATGCAATTTTAACCCATGTATAGATTCATGTAACCACTACCACAATCAAGATACAAAGCTATGGCCGAGCACGGTGGCTCACACCTGTAATCCCAGCACTGTGGGAGGC